CCGTTTTGTTCCAGTCCCGAATTGATACTGATCCGTTTGGGACGGTGTCTCGTCCCGGACCGGTTCAAAAAAACGGGACAGGTACCGGGATAGGTCAAATTCCGGACCGCGTCCAACCCTAGTTGATTGAGTGTAGCTTTTTTTTTTTCTTTTTTTCTTTTGTTTCAGGTTTTGATACTTGGATTGTAGACTTAAAGTTGTGATTAATTGTTGTATTTAATCTCCTCAATCAGCTTTTATCACTGATAGTCAATTTTTGGACAATATAATAATAAAAAATGAATGTATTCACTTCCTCAATAGTAAAAAAAAAAAGGGCAAAGATTGTTTTATTGCTGTAAAACTAGACATGGCTAAAGCATGATTAGGGAGATATATAATCTAAATGAACCTATGCATTTGTTGGCTATGCATGATTAGGGAGATATATTAATTTTGTTGATAGATTAAAGCCTAAGATCGTATATAGTATTATCTATCGATTAAGAAAATAATTAGAGATTGTATTTTGATTATTGAACAAGTAAGGAATGATAGGTTGTGAGGTCGTGCACTCGTACCAATATCCATAATCAGCTTAATCGAGAGTAGGAGAACCAAAATCTATGAATGCTTTGGTTGGATATTTTAGCTCTTTGATTTATTCTAATTTGGCATCGTACCTCTCTTGATCGTATTCAGTAGAACTGAATTTAATTTGTATTACTTTAGGTATATCGAAAATATCAAAACTCACATCTTTTTATTTTTATTTTTCCATGAATAGTTGCATCAATTCTTTTCTATCCAATCTATGTGGATACGACTCTATTTATTGCTACTACAATTTTATAAGAAATTTATTATTGTTGGTTTCGACCGCCACTAGACTGTGAATATGATAACGAATATCAAATTATGCATTATAGAATCTCAACTTTCTATATACATTACAATCTTGTTCACTTATTTAGAACACATCATTTATAATGGATTCGTGTCAACCCAATGTTAAAAGTGGACTTTTTATAACTACTCAACCCGTTTTAGAAATTTCATACTTTATTTGTCGACTGTAACTTCAACAGATATAGGACTGTTACCAAACTTAAGTTTTACTAATTACAAAAAAATTTGTTCTTTCTTTTTTGCTAGGACTTATTAAATAATTTATTATATTGTAAGTTATGTTTTAATTTGTTTTGTTACAATCACTTACAAGTGCTTGATTCAACCTCCCGACCCTCGTTTTGAAATAATGAGATCGTTATAAGATAGAGAATTTACATGACCTTGGCACATTTTCACTCATTTTCTCAAAAAACTTCAATCAGACCATGGAAATTGGAAATAAGAGTTTTGTTAAACCAAGGAGAGAAATCAGAGAATAGAGGCACCGACACAAATCTTCAATTCCAAATAATCATCACAATCTCTATATTGTGAATAAATACAAAAGCACCATTGTATAAAAAAGATTCCGTGTAACCATAAACAAATCAACACCCATACCCCACCAAAAAAAAATTATAATAATAAAAATAATAAATAAATAAAATCCCTTCAATCAACGCAGCTCAACATCCTTTTTCCACCCAATCACAACCCGAGAAAAATTAAAATACCAGCCGCGGCCGTGAACAAGAAACCCGGATTATTAACTTCCGGCGAACCAGAAGACTCAGAAGCCGTCACCGGAATCGAGCCGAAAACGGTCGGATAAGAGGGTGCAGCGGCGGTCGATGGACCGTACGCAGGCGAATCTGCCCCAGCAAAGGACCCATTAATCCCGTTCACAGAGATGTGCAGCTTTTGGGATTTAAGGCAATGGCTTTCAACCCCACTTGTGAAGTAATAGTCACCTGCCCTTGTTATGTTGAACAATGAATTGCCATTGTTCATGTACAAGATTGGATCTTTCAAGTTGCAAACGTTGTACGCTTCTCTACTCACCTGGATCACAGAGTCTTGGCTTGGA